TTCATTTCTGTTCTGGTACACTCATTTTACACAATAGTTTTCATTAGAAAAGACCTTATGGAAATACCATTTTAAGGGGAACAGAAAAAAAATCTTCCTATATATATTTCCACTTATTAGATAATTTAATTTCTTTTTTAGCTTTACTCATTAATGTCTTAAAATGCTGATATTAATAACATTAGCATGCTAGTTAGGCAAAGTGCTTTCGATTTCTATGTTATGAAAGCATTTTAAAAGGTTTATTTTCCGTCCCCAGATTAAAGTCACGCTTAACTTCTGACATGAAAATGGAATTGTATCATATAGGAAATGAGATATATATATGGTTTTCATTTTTCATCCTGAGACAATGCGCTGCATTGTTCCCCCGCCGACTTCAGTTGATCTACTTAATTGAAGAAATTGAATATTTTTTTGTGTACATAGCTGCATACATGTAGATACTTATCTATTATAGACATAAAACAGTGTGCGGGTAAATGTAATATGATCAGGAATGTGAATACTGTAGGAGGAAGTTATGCATGTCAACTTTAATTTCTGAGTTTAAGCACAAAGGGCGAATACCTGTGTATGCGTGTGTTCGTTCTATGTTGGGGGTAGGAATAACTAGAGCATAGTTTTTCAATACCACCTCAAGGCATATAATATCATTCCATAATTCTTCGACTTAAGTTATGCCGAAAGAAGGGAAACAGTATAAGACGGACTGTAAAGTTTGATAGATTTCTTGTGGTGATAGTTTACACTTTCCAAGCCAACATCTAAAGGGTTGGGTTTTATTTTTGCATCATTGTTATTGTACTCTCGTGTACTTTGTCATAAATCAGAATATTTATTTCCTTCGCAACATGGGGTATAATAGCAGGCAGAAATACAAATTTAAGATAATCATTAAAATGTTCCTAACCAAATTTTTTTTCCCCGAGAAGTGAAAATGAATGCTTATCATGAAAAAAAAAATGGCTAAGGGAGGGGCGGGGAGTTGTTTAAACATATGGTGGGCATAAGAGGCTTTTTGCGGCTTCACTCTTGATTAGATAATTATGGTGGGGAAGAGAACAAGTACAATATGAAAAGTTTGAGGTAGGTGCTTTTGTGGGTGAGTTACAAAACATCCACGCACCCACGCATGATTTTTAAGGGAAATGTGAAGCTATAGACAGGACTGTGCCAGTGTACATGCAGATCTTCCCCCCCTGTGTGTGTGTGTGTGTGTGTGTGTGTGGTTGTGTGTGTTTGCAGCCCACTCCTTCCTTGCAGCCGCGTGCCCTGTGTCTTTGGGGCTGAAGGCTGCTCCAAGGGAAGGGAAGGGGACTTGGTTTCAAGACCTCTTTTGGGGAGGGGGGTGTCAGATGAACTGTCTGCCTTTGGCATTCAGAGAAAGAGCAATCAGACACTAGAGACAATAGGAGCCCGTCTGCAGATTGCTCCATATACTCAGGAAGGCAGAAAACTGGCAGGGCGCACTTTATCCTGTTTCTTTGACTTTTTAAAAATTAATCACTTCCTGACTTTTACTTCAGTCAAATAATTCCAAATAACTACCAGGCCCAAGACAAATGCATTAATGAATCCAATGGCACTCACACACAAACCAGCATCCATTCTACTTAGGTGTAACCCACGGTCAGCCTGCAACCTCAATCTTTCTTTTGTGGTCTTATTTTATTACTATTTAAAAAAAAAAAAAAAAGCAACAACAACCTAATATGCACTACACGTTTTGTTTCTAAAGAAATGTAAAAAGCCAGATTGAGATGTTAAGATCTCTCCCCCCCCCCCCGGGCCCCGCATGTAGAGATTTCCCCACCATTTAAGTTTTAATAGCATTTGTTGGTATTTATTTTCCGCAATTAGAGTAAAGCATTTTCCCAATGGGGGTTCTACTTAACCGGATGAATTTTATTTCTTTTTCCATTAAAGACGCATGTTTATCATACTTTTAATTATTTTTTTTTACTTTAAGTATTATTTGGATTTCTACGTGCACTCACTCGCCTGCTCTGGTTTACAGCAAGACCTCCAGTTTAATGTATACTTTATACGCACATACACAAATATATTCTGAACTCAAGCGAAGAAGTATACTTCGATCTTTTAAATGAATCTGATGTTTTCGCCATGCCATTAGCCATTAGGACAAGCTTGTTTGTGGAAAGCTTCAATTATCAACCCAATTTACGCTGAAAACTTTTCCATGTGTTTGTACAGATAGAAACAAATCTGCTTCTGTTTTTTTTTTAATGAAGCAATCATAATGACAAATAGGCAATCAATATTTAATTTCTACCAGGTTTACACACTCAAAACCCTTCTATTCTGTCTCCAATTATATTCAATCTGATAAAAAAAGTCCTCAATGCTGTATATATGAATCTCTGAAAAAGATGGGGGGGGGGATAGTATTATTTGACAGGCTTTTATCTCAGTGCAATTTGGGCTTCCTTTTTCCTATTTCCCATGGGGGAGAAAGGATGGAATTCAATACAGACAAAAATCCAGAGCGGCAAATATAGATATGAAAGACTTGGAAATGTATTGTCACTTCATTTTCATCTAGGCAGTTTTTCTCCCCAAAAATGCATCCGTGAAAGGATCTCTCGAGCTTTGGAGCCAAAAATGATTGAGTTAGCTATATAAGCTGCAAAAATAAAGAGGGGGGAGGGGGGCCCAGGGAGAACTGGGAGAGAATGGGAGAGAGCTATAGAGTGCCACACTGTATTAGTCTTTAATTTCTTCACTATAAATGAGGAAGCATTGGCTCCCATGCTAACATTTTATTTTTTGCTTATAAATATTATGTGGAATTTTCGTGGGATGTCATAAAACAGAATGATTCCTATCAAACTGTTTTTAAAAAGACCTATGCAGATAACACAAACAGAGGCTATAAAGTCAGGAATAGCTTTCCAAAGGAAGCAAAACAATGTTTAAAGTGCAGGAGAGCTCTTAGCATGTTGTATTTTGAATTGTGTGGTGGGGGAGGAGGGCGTTTGTGTGTGAAGGAGGACTTGAGACAAATAGAATTATGTGGTTTAAGACTTCCTTGGCCTAAAGATATTAAAACTTCTCACCCTTGAAGATCGGAGGGAGGAGGGGGGGGTTGAAGGTGGGGGCCCCAGCTTTGCAAGTCCTTTCAAAGCAACCGCCAAATTGAATTGTAAAACCAGGTCATTGAAAACCTGTTTTTAAAGCCTGGCTGGCTTTAGGCAGCCATTCAGCCTATTTAAAAAAATATCTCTCTCTATATATATATTTAACCAAAACTGGTTAAGTTCCACATTTCCACATATCTCAATCTTTTTGAGTAAAATTTCCCCCACTCTTTATTTATCTGTGTTTGAAAAGGCAGCCAATCCACCCCTTGAAAATGACTCTGAACCCTCTAAAGGTGCAATGATCTTGAGGTTCCTTCCATGGAGTGAATCTGTTCTTGTGGTCATTATGATAAGTATGATCATTATTTATCTCTTTATCAAAATCTTTAGTTAGATGGCAAGTATTTCTTAACTATACCCATTCCTCACACATAAAATACAGAGAAAGCATCTCAAACTGACAATCATCAACAGGATTGTCAGTTTGGGATTGTAACATGTTAGTCAATTTAATATATGCTAAAGAACAATTTGACTTAATTGCAACCCAATTTAGAAAATGTCCAATAAAGAGAGCAGCCACAAGAAAAACATCTCGTTCAACATAACTTAATCTAGGAGATAACATTTATTATTCTGAGATCATTAAGTTCAAAGAGAGAAAGAGAGGCGGCAAGGAGAAAGCAAGCATAAAAAGTAAAGGAAATGAACCTAGAAAAGGAAAATTAACTAAAGGAAACAATCATTTTTTTAAAAAACAAAACACCCTTAGTGTGCAATCAATAAAAATACAGATAACTAAATTTGTGCATAAAATTGTGGTTAAACACTCTTTCTGTTAAATAAAAGAATCCTCGTACACCCCACAATTTGATACTTTATTTGATTGTGATAATTTCCTGAAAGAAGTAGATGCCAAATCCACACAATCCTATAGAAAAGAACGTTGTTTTAGTTTTGTTAATGTACCAGTTTATTTACAAACTTGTGCTTACGTTTGGATTCCTGAAGAAGTGTAAATAGGGTTGAGGCTTACTTTAAAATAATGACAAAGATTATTTTGGTCAAAATTTGAGGAGGAAGTTTCCTTTTTTTTTTCAAATGCTAGAAGAAAAGACCCTTAAAGGTGGCATTCGTTACAATAAAGGCAAGAAAAACCACTTTTTTGAATAAACACTAAAACAGCACAAATGTCAATGACTATTTTCAAATGGAAAGCCCTTGAGTGATTTTCACCCGAAGGCTTCATTTTTCTTTGACTCCAGTTGATGATAACGGTGACAATGATTTTTCTAAAGACTTTTGGGAAGTAAACTCGCTGTCCCACGGGCTAACGTTGAAGCCACCCAAGTATTGAAGAAATTAGAAGGCAGCTGAAGAAACATTTTCTGTGCATTTCGAGTTTAGTTGGGGTGAAGAATTCAAAGGATCCCAAAGTTGTTGGAACAAAATATTGTTATTTCGTGTTCGATTCTTGGCTTATTTGTTTTTCTTCCAATTTTTGTATTTATTTCAAAGATGATAGATAGATAGATAGATAGATAGATAGATAGATAGATAGATAGATAATTCTTTGCTGACCTTTTAATTTGAATTTGACTTTGCTTCTATTTACGGGCTCACTTCCTTTTATTTTCCCCCACTTCGTTGCAGACACGCGTTCGTTCATTGGTAAACAAACTCGAGGAAAAAGCGTGTCGCTCTCCTTTGTTCAATGTGAAGGTCCTGGGTTCCCTACCTTCCAGAAGCGGATAGATGTCGCTGTTGCTCCACGCAGGTTTTCTTCTCTCGAAACAACTTGACCCCGGTGACGTCACTGGCGTCTGAATCATCAAGGCCATTTTCAATCCTCATTGGCCTACTTATCACGTGGTTGGGACCGATGCGTGGATAATTATGGTGCTGATATTTTTTTTTCCTCCTAAAAAAAAGATGTCAGCTCCTGGCTGTAGTATTCCTCTTTAAAATCCTTCTCTGAAAATGTCATGTCCCAACAATGTGACTCCTAACTCGTTTTTGATGGACTCGTTGGCTGGTACCTGCCGGGGAGAGAATTATTCCTCTAATCAAGGAATGTACATGCAGTCGGCGAACGACTTCAACTGTGGAATGATGAGGAACTGTGGGATCATCCCGGCTCTTTCCAAAAGAGACGAGGTGAACCACGCCGGCGGGCTGTCCCTCAACACCTACCCGCCTTACCTGTCTCAGCTAGATGCCTGGTGTGACCCTAAAAATACTTACCGAATCGAGCAACCTGTTGCAAGGCAGCTGCCCTCCTGCTCCTTCCCGACCAGTGTCAAGGAAGAAAATGCTTGTTGCATGTACAACGCCGAGAAAAGGGCGAAAAGCGCCCCCGAGGCCACCCTCTACCCCGGGCAGATGCCTGAAGCTTGCCTCGCTGATCAGGAGGTGCCCCTGCCTAGCTACTACCGCGCCACCCCAGGCTATTCCTCCCTGGAGAAGGCGCCCAGCAGCGGCAGCCCCAGCGCCTACGAGGCCGGTTTTGAACCCAGGGCGGGTCTCAGCCAAGCCAGCGAGAGACGGGAGCAGCCCCCGGGCCCACCGCCGCCGGCTCCTGCCGCCCCGCAACAGCCCCAGCCGCCGCCCGAGCGGCCACCCCCACCTCCACCTCCGACATCCGCCTCCCTCGCCCAGCCGGGAGCACCGGGAGCTTCCCCGAAAGCGCCAAGCCGGACCTCAACCTGCAGAACAGCCCGGCTGGCGACGTTAAGACGGAGAAGAATCTCCCCGTGGCCAAACCCAGCCCGTCGGAAACGGAGCAAAGCGGGCAGAAATGTGCCGAGAGCAGCAGTGACAATTCGGACCACGAGGCAAAAGGTAAGGTCAGGGGATCCTTCTACTGGCTTCCCAGGAGAGGAACCCTCGGGGGAATGGACAGCCGTTCTGGTTGGTGTTATTTGGAGCTGGTTGCTATTGTTATTGTGGTGGCCGTGGTTGTTGTTGTTGTTATTGTTACTATTCATACGATGAGGCTTATGATTTGAGAAGCTGAGCCCCAGCCTCTGGGGCTGCAGTCAAACTCCATCAACTTTTCTCTTTGGGACCTGTGGCGACGTTTGCTGTCCCCTCTGGGAAGCGCCCCCGCCACCCACAGCAGTAAGAACGAAAGCATCACGGGGACAGCAAGAATAATAGTAACAACGTAGTAAGAACAACGACAGCAACAACCCCCTTAAAATCCGTTTGAAAGAAGGCACCGCAGTGTGTGTGTGGCTCAGTCATCCTGGCCAGAAGTGGACGCCCCTGCCTGGCGTGCTGTGGTTTTCGTGGGGACAGCAGCTGGGGCTGACGGGGAAGGGGCAAGGCGACGTGGTCTGGTTACGTTGGCGAAGTGGATTTTTTTTTTGGTTGGTCTCAGGCAGAGATCCCAAGGGGTTCTGGCGCTGAACGAGCCCCTTCGGAGGGGCGAGGGAGTATTTCAAGGAGCGGTTGCAACTTCTCAAACGTGCTCTTCTGGATGAGCTCGCCCCCTTCTCTCCTCTCCTCTCCTCTCCTTTCCTCTCCCAGCCCTGAAAAGCAGGCATTAAAGTTCTTTGGGATGTTGTTGTGTTGTGTTGTGGTGGCGTGGCCGTGGTTGATTGTCTTGAGGAGAATTTGACTGGGCGAGGGCTGGGCTGCGGGCTGGGGGCGAAGGTGACCGGAGGGGAGGGGAGGGGACGTGAGGTGTGCTGGGAACGGTTTGCTAAACACTTCAGACTGGCCTTGATTGTTGAGCTCCATTATCAAAGCTGCATGGCCCCCTGAATCACCGAGGTTGCTGCTTCAAGGGTCGTTTTTTGCGCAGGAACAAAGTCTTTTCGCCCGCCCTTCTCTTCCTCCTCCTCCTCCTCCATTTGCGAAGGTGTAGGAACCTCTGCTTGAAGTTTAAGGTGTTCTGGGCAAGAGCAGCTCCTGGAGGGATGAAGATGGGGCTTTCACAGAAGATACTTATATTTATCTTGCAGGTGAAGCCTAAAAATGAGCCAGTGGAGAGAAGGGTTGGAAAGGGGCTGAAATGTGTATTATTTATTATTATTTATTAAATTTATATGTCACCTTTACTCCCAATGAAAGAAGGGAAGAGAAGGAATGAGGAGAGTCGAACCATTTAAAAAAATGTACAGTTTGTTTTCTTCATAATGGGATTAACTTTACGCAAAGAGTTCCTTCACCTCCCAAAAAAACCTATTGGGAATAGATACAGATATAAAGAAAGGTGTTTCTTACTTTGGCATGTACGACTCCATAGCCTCACAAAACCCAGCTTTGAATTGGAGGGGGAGAAAAAACTTAGAAAGTAAATAGAGACAAGTTGGCTTATATGGAGTCCTCTACATTTTCTAAGTATACATACTTGTATACTTGTATGCATGCTTTCGCCAATTCCTTTTTCACACATAAGTTGCTTGAATTCCATCAAAGAATACAAGCACTTCGTCCTCTCTATTTCTCATCTGATCCCATGTATAAGCGTGTCTCTGTGTGTAAATGCGTGCATGGGTCTGCATGTGTACACATATATACAGTCCATACGTATATATCTACATCTACCAATGTCTCCACCCACATCTTTATGTATGCGTTTATATAGAATTAAAATACGAATTGAAAATGGCCTAAAACGGATTTTCCAACCCTCTTCCGCGCAACCAAGAATAGATTATTTTATCTACCAATAAAATAAGAAAACGTGCAGTGTCATGAATCTCTAAAAACTAATCTCGCCCAAAACGCTTTCTTGCTTACACTTTCTCCAGCGTCCTCAATTCACAAAAGTAAAATGAACAAAAATAATAAAATACGATTGGCTTATAGGATCTCGGAAGGGAGAAAGAGAGAGGGGGAAAAAAAAAAACCCCAACAACTTCATGATCTCTTTTAATCACAACAGTCAGTTCTAATGAAGAATTTGAAATGTCCCGCCTAGGTTTTTCCAAAAAGTTTTATTTAATTTTCTTCCTTGCGAAAGAAGAGAGCTATTTGCTGGAAATCCAACACTGTTATGTATTATGCCAGCAGGGGGATGAATTTTGATGGGGATGATGATCATTATAATAATAATTTATTATTATTATTATTTTATCTTTCCACCTTCTCTTTGTCTTATATGGAGTCTTCCTCTCTGTTTCTATTACTGTATGCCCTATGCAAGGTGTGGAAAGGGAGTTTAAGGTTTTGGGAGGGGGGGAAACAAACTCTTAGAAGGAACTAACAGGGTTCAATGGCAGAGGGCTAAACACATGTGAAAGGCTTTTCCATGCAGCCGAATTCGCTGGTCGGTTTTGGAGCAGCTTGCTGGTATTCCTAAATTTGGGGCAAGAATTCGGATCCTGGGACAGGAAGACTCCCGTAGACAAGACAAGGCTTCAGACTTGCCCTCACATTCTGCCACCAGCCGTAGACCATCCAAATTCAAATCTGGGAAGGTGTTTGTGAATTTGGAGGCTGAAGTGAACAGTTGGAGTTGGGCACGCCTGTATGAAAAAGGGATATTTGGAAAAAGTCGGGGTGTTGTATATGTGTGTTTGTCTCTGTGTGTGTGTGTTACAGGCAGATAGGAAGACGGGTCATTTTAAAAGTACAAATAAATCTTGGTCGGTTTGTTTTTGTTTTTTAAAAGTAATATCGAAAGTTTACCTTCACTCATAATAAAACTACCCAGAGCTCTCACATCAAAGGAAAATGGAGTCTGGACTATTGGGAAGGGAGGGAGGGGAAGAGAGAGAGAGAGAGAGAGGCAAAATATTTCTCTCTACCCACTCTCTGAATCTCCCACCCTATCTTGTTTGGCTTTTGACGAGTTTTGAATATGAAGGGATAGTTTCAGAGCAGTGTCTGAGCTGGGAACTTTGTGGGTGTGCAAGCAGCAGCTAATTAGGACAACCATTAAACCTCTGGAATTATTGTTATTATTATTATTATTATTTTTAAATCTTTCCAAACCTGGATGGAATTTTGTAACTGCAGGAGTCTACTGATAGATCTGACTCTTTTTAAAAAATCCGTCTGTCCCCGAGGAAAGGCCTATTTAGGTTTTTCCGTATGTGTCATAGGCGAAGTGTGTGTGTGTGTGTGTGTGTGTGTTTGGGGGTGGGGAATCCAGTAAGAGCTGGCATTATGTAGCTTATGTCCAGGTGAATATTGTTTAAAATAGGACTTTAGCCCCAGCTTTTTGCGACCCCTTAGTTCCTGTTATTTGCCCGAATGCTTAATTTGGCTGTTTTTTTTTTTTTAAATAGCTAAATGTTAAATAAAAAAAGGAGTTGGAGGTAGAACGCCCATTATTTTTTAGCAGTGGAATGAGAGATTTCCCATTAGCAAAAGAAGCTGCAGGGGGGAAAAAAGTAGCCTTGACTCTAGGAAGCTCGCTTTGCTATTCCAATAGATACTTATTTAATAATATTATTTTTAACAGAGGATATAAAGGCAGAAAAACACGACAGGAAATTGGCTGACAGCAAAGAGCGGAAGAAAGAAAAGATGCCCTTACACTAAACATCAGACGTTGGAACTGGAGAAGGAATTCTTATTCAATATGTACTTGACCCGCGAGCGCCGCCTGGAGATTAGCAAGAGTATTAATCTAACAGACAGACAAGTCAAAATCTGGTTTCAGAACCGCAGGATGAAACTCAAGAAAATGAACAGAGAGAACCGAATTCGGGAACTGACTTCCAATTTTAATTTCACTTGAACGTGTTCAGAGGAAGGAAGGGATGGGCTATATGGGGAGAATCATTGCAAATCTTGTGCAGTATTTTTTTTTAATTATTATCATTATTATTTTTTCCCCTCACCCCACCCCCTGGACATCATTGCAAGGAGCATAGGAGGGAGGACGGGGAGGGAGGGAAAGGAAGAGACCTCAGGCTAAGTGTTAAATTCTATAATTTGGATATTTACAGATTATAGAGCGGAGATGCATTCATCAGTATGAGCATGTGAATATATATATATATATATATATATATATATATATATATATATATATATATATATATATATATATATATATATATATATATATATATATATATATATATATATGTAGGTGGAACCTGGCTAGAGAGAAATAACACATAAAACCTACGAAAAAGAAATATATATATATATATATATATATATATATATATATATATATATATATATATATATATATATATATATATATATATATATTCAGTGTTTCTATATGTAAAGAACCAGCTGATTGCTTACTAGTTTACTAGCTGTCTTTATTTTACATATAGAGACACTGAATATATATATATATATATAAATCAGTGTTTCTATATGTAAAATAAAGAACCAGCTGATTGCTTACTAGCTTTTCAAACACTTCTAAGATGTTTTTAAGTTATTCAGAAATAGCACAAAGCGAAGGGAAGGGTGTGTTGGGGGCTTGGAAGACCGAAGGATCTACATCTATGCCTTTTTTTTTTTTTTTTAATGTTTAGGACACTAGCTATGTTTGAAAGTTTGCTTTTCCGTACCTTAGTGTAGCCTGCCTATTGTACAATAATACAAGATATCATGACTGCCAATGAATTTCATACGTGCGAATATGTGGAAATAGCAGAGAGAAATGCTTACTCGATGTAGTTTATGCAGTCTCCTTCCAGTGAGGTGGTGCTGTCACCCATTATATTTAAGAAAAAAAGAAAAATAATAAGGCAGCACCGCTAGCTATCTTATCACGGGGAAAGTGGGGGTGGGTGAGTGGGAATGCCTGTGCTTTTTTTTTTTTTTTTTTTGTGACTTGCTATTTAAATATATCCTGTATGTGGAATCTGTGCATGTATCTTTCTATATGGAGCCAAATAAATTTCTTAGAACGCTGGACAACTGGGTATTTTTGGAAGTGATTTCCTTTCTCTCCCCCCCCCCGCGCCAAAAAAGCACGCCCCCCCTCCCCGCCGTCCCTCTCTCCGTCTAGGGTATTTTTTCCCCCTAGTACTCATCCTTTTAAGGCTTTCAGGAGAGTATCCTAGCGGGTTTAATATAAGTGAGAGACCATAACGTTGATTTAAATATTATCCAGGTGACCACAATAAGTCAAGGTCATAAAACAGTAATGTCAGGACAGTCTTGGTAAGCGCTGGAGGTGGATTTTATGATCTGCAAATATAATGTGCCGCAGCAGTAAAAGATGCATTTAAAGGTGACTGTGGAGGAGGGAAGCAAGTCAGAAGCAGAGCAGCTTTCTTGGGATGCACACTCCTCATAGCTAGGGGTCTCTTTTTTTTTTTTCTGTCTGTCTTTCTTTCCACCTTTTTTCCTTTCCTTTCTTTTTTCCTTTTTTCTTTTTGAAAGGAAAGACATGCTCCTTTTATCTCCTCCTCCGGAAGAACCGTTTTCTATTATTAAAGAAAAAGAAAAAGAAAGAAAGAAAGAAAGAAAAGAAGGAATACACTTTTTTTTTTAAAGCCACCTCTTGCTCCCAGCGTACGTAGCACAGAGAACGGGGATGTCACGGTGGAAGGCGTGCAGAAGGTAAGACAGACGATTTCTTGGCTGAGATACATGGCTGAGATGCAAGTGGATTTCTCTGAGAGTGTGTGTGTGTGTGCGTGTGTGTCTGGGTTTCTCTCCCTCCCTCCCTCCCTCCCTCCCCCCTCTTCCTGCGTCTACTCAAGGTAAAGGCAGCGTGGATGTGAACTCCACTTTGAGGCGATCTAGGTTTGATCCAGATAGGGCGTCTGGTTTGGTGTCTTAGGACTTGGGGGGGGTTGGATCAAGGGGGCTTCCCTGTGCCTGTGTGACAGCTCATTTTCGATCAGAATATGCATGGCTGAAGAATGGTGGTGCATAGATTTCCATGTTGATCCCCTTGGCCACCAAGACCTCCACCACACCCCTTCCTCTTTCTCCTCTTCCTCCTCTTCCTCCTCTTCCTCCTCTTCTTCCTCTTCCTCCTCCTCTCCTCCTCCTCCTCCTCCTCCTCCTCTTCTTCTTCTTTCTTCTTCTTCTTCTTCTTCTTCTTCTTCTTCTTCTTCTTCTTCTTCTTCTTCTTTCTTCTTTCTTCTTTCTTCTTCTTCTTCTTTCTTCTTCCCCTTTTTAAACTTACTTCTGATGAAGTTGAGCTTTCTTTAGAAGGGACACAAAGAGTCTGAGGTTTTTGGTTTTTGATTTTGTTTTTGTTGGTCGCCAGAGGACTTTGGCACTCCTCAAACCCGTTGGAGTTGGGTATTCCCTGAATGTGCCCTTTTGCTTTCAGAGTTTTGGCTGACAGGGGCTCTAAAGAAGGGGAAGCAAGGACGTTTGGTGGCATTTTGAAATGTTGTGGGATCACAGACACACACGCACGCCCACGCAGAGACGTTCCTTTGTGGATATTTCTTCCCCACCTCCTTTCCCCCCCCCCACGCTTCTTTAACTGAAGCTGGATGGCAATATGCAAGGCAAAATGAATAATGTCAGACCGTAGCCAGTTTGCCAATGAAGGATAGTGGATTGTGCTGTAATTCAGTATATACTAGCAGCTCAACCGCAGACAGACAAGTAGAGTGAGAGAGAGTTGAATGCAGATTCTATTAAAGAGGAAGGAAGGGAGGGGTGGGAGAAGAGGAGGGGGAGGAGAGGGGGAATCTTAATGAAGAGATTAAAGATGTTGCCTTAATTCGAAGTATGTTTTCTTAGGGGCTTGGTTATTCCTGTGCTTAGCTTCTAACGTGGATGAGAAAGCTAGCAGGAACATACCCTGAAGCATAGCCTACGAAGGGACTAAAGATGCTTTCTTTCTTTCTTTCTTTCTTTCTTTCTTTCTTTCTTTCTTTCTTTCTTTCTTTCTTTTTTTCTTTCTTTCTTTCTTTCTTTCCTCTCTCTCTCTCTGTCCCCTCCATCCCTTTTTGTCTTTCTTTCTTTCTGGCAGAAATGACTGTGGATCTTTCGCCCCTTTTCTGCAGCTGTTCCGTGGTTTAGGTAGTTTCATGTTGTTGGGGTTGGCTTTTAACTCGGCAACAAGAAACTGCCTTAATTACGTCAGTTAGTCTTCATCAAGGGCAACCTTCCTCCCTCACCCCACCCCCCCTACCCCGCTTTTTAATTTGACCCCCTTTCCTTTTCCTTTGCTACTCACACGCAGCCAGACGGAAGGGTCGGGAGCCTTTATTAAGACAGGGAGCAGGCAAAGCGAACAAATGGTGGTAGACAGACTTCTCTCCCCCCCCACACGCCCCCCTCCGGGGGAAAAATTAGCAAGAGGAAGAGAGAGGGAGAAAAAAAAAAGAGAGAGAGAGAGAGAGAAGGACAGGAGGGCATTTCTGGGGGCAGGGACGCAGGTTCGCCAAACCTCATAACCGTCTCCAACTCACCACACGGCTTCATATACCTTCCCAACAATTCCCCAAGCACTTATGATCGCTTCGTCTGGACTTAAGACGACTCTTGCTGCTTGCTGTTGTTTCTGGCCGACGGGGCTCTCCAGACGGACAAACATGGAGGGGGTCCCTCTCTGAAAATTTCTCGGGTGATTAACGCTTCTAAGTTTAAGATCGGAATAATTGTCTGAATTTGTAGCCTAGGGGTTTTCGGGATTCACCTTTTTTTGCTTTCCTTCTTGGGGGGAGGGGTCCAACCTGGCTTCTTTTGCATCCTGGTTTCTGAAAGGAGCCGAGTTTTGTGAGAAGTGAATGGAGGCTGTGATATGTGCAAGACCTCCCTTTATATGAACGCAGGTGTTCGGTAAATGGCCGGGGAAGACTGAAATTACAGCCCTTGACTCCCAATGGCAATCTATTGCTGGTATAACCTGCCCGGGACTCTGAGAATCCACTTAGATAAATTATAGTCTTATTATGTTCCTTGGCTTGAAGGTGGCTTGAAGAACAAAACGGAAAGCGGTACTCTTAGGTCCACAGACCTTCCTCGAGAGCTTGTTCAAGGTTTAACCACGGTGCCTCTTCAAAATGAAATGAGGATTAAAACCAGGAGCTCAGGATTCGGTGTAGTTTACTGAACAGCAGCCATGGATTACAATCTGCTTCCCCCACCCTCTACTAAGTAGCTAAGGAACCCGTTAAGGAAGAAAAGAAAAATCCTTCTGCCCGGTGTTGGGATGAACAAGTTGTTGTAATGGTGATTGTGGTTGCTTTGGTGGATCTGGAGGGTTGAGATTTAAACCGGGCTGCGTGTGCGTGTGAGCGCGGAGATTTTCAAGGGGGAAAAAAAAAAAAATCCAAGATACCAGGATCGAAGTGGCCAGAGAGAGAGAGATCTTCGCCACTGAGCAAATTGGTGCTAAATTAGCTTTTTATCCTTCCAGATGGGGTTCAGGTTTATATTCGGGGAATGGGAATGGGGGGGAAATCGTGGGGATTTATTCCACTACCACCATCGCGCGCGCGCACACCCCAAAAAAGAAGAAAAGGGTAAAAGAGGCAAACTAGCATTGGAGGAAGAATTCACCCAGTGGTCTGCAACCCACGATCCTTGACTGAGGACAGGAAACGAGAGCAAGGGACAAGGGCAGGAGCCTGGGGCGAGAAGCTGCATATACTTCTAATAGACAAGAAATATATTTCCGCAGCTTAAGTACAAAGATGTATAGGGAACCCTGTTTCCTAGTCAAGCTCTAGGACGGCTCCTTTCTAAACACAAATTTTAATTAGAAATAAAGTCTGCCACCACCACCCCACCCGCCGCAGGGAGGATGTGCCTCTGGTCTTTCACGGGAGAAAGGTTATTTTGCTACTGCTGTGATTCTCGGGCCACTGTTTGCACTGTCCCCCCCCCCACCTCCTCTACCGTCCCTTCTGAGCCCTCCAGCTCCTTAGCAAACTTTCAGCAGTCGATTGGGGGAGACCTGAGTCTCAGAGACTGAAGGGTGGGGTAGGGTTGGGGGTGCGTGGATTCCCTTTCCCGAAGGAGAGGGGCAACCTGGTCTTGACAAAATACCACAAAACGGGTGGAGGGGACGACCAGGACTGTAAGTTCTCAGCTCAACGGTCTAACATCGTTTCCTCCTCTC